GTAGATCCTCCAGATCAGTAACGAGGCTCCCAATATCATCGGTTCCTCTATCGACATTTTCTTGATGGTGATCCAAATCGGCCACAATAGGTTCTTCCTCTTCATCGCCTTCATCACCCGAATCGTCATCATCTGATTCATAGTCATCATCCCCTTGGAATCTGACAGTGAGTTCCGGCATATCATCGACATCATTGTCTGCATCTGCCAAGAGCTCATTTCTTTTGGAGTCATCAATATTATCGAATTGTCCACGTAGGTTGAAATCACGTTCATCTTCTTCTTCAGGTTCATAGTCCTGATCGAAGGCTTCCTCTAAGTAACCTTGTTCCGTGTCATGCTCGAACGACATCTTCACAACCGGCTTTTAGTTGCTGGTGCTGCGGAGATACTGGCCATGGGGTCACCCGTTGTCCCGAACGCTCCACGCGCCCACAAGCGGAATGGAGCGACCCAGGGCGTTACAGCGACGCACCCACCACTACTACTTCAAGACGAGCGGGGAGAGCCAATCTCCAAGTCACTGCGGCTGCATCTGCGGCGCAGTCGGATGCCGCGTCTAGCGTCACGGGAACACAATCAACTGGTCAACAACATCGAAGCAATATGCAACGAGCTGTTGTCGACAGGAGTGGAAATGGCACTTCTGGTGCTACTGATATACCCGGCTCTTATGTGGTACGAGGCAGATCTGTTGCTGATGGACGACCTAATGGTAGAATTACAGGATGGAACCTTGCACAAGTACGTGTAAGACCTATTCTGAAGAAGAAAGCAGTCTCCACTGAAGACAGAGGAGAGTTGCTAGTGAAGAAATGGCAAGCACAACTAGAAGCTGCCAGTACTTTCAAGGACGATGACAGCATGGTCAGCGATGGAAGCTTGAACATGCAGATCTACAAGTCGACCTCAAAGATGGATTCATTGAAGCACTGTTCTCAATGGACCAAAGACAACAAGAAACCTTTCAAGACCAATGGAAGTAAGCACTGGGATATCGATCTTGGTGTTCATCTTGATTCTGGATCTACGTTCAGCCTACGAATGAACGAAGATTACGCCAAACCGGGCACTGTGTCTGACCTGGATTACATGTTCAACTACGGTACAAACACTGGCCAACGTGATCTGCACCAGCAGGTCAAATCAAGTATTATCGAAGGACACACTTGCTTGCTTGATACTGAAGCGCAATGTAACCTCGATAGTCTATCCGAGCTTGTGAAGCTTGGATTCCGTGTCGTTATGGACACTGATATTGGAAACTCCTTCATTGTTACAAAGGGGGAACAACGAATGAGATATTTGCATCGAAACGGATTGTATACTTTTGTACCCGATGGTAGGGCAGAAAGTGATGAGGGATCCGAATACTCTGAGTGTGAATACAGAGAATGCAGAAATTGTGACTGCGACGCGTTTGGTGTCGCACACACTGAATGCCATAAATGTGGTGTTATTTTCTGTGGTAGAATTTTAAAAATTAGCTATTCCGATTCCGATTATTGTGGCATACAGACGGTACGGGAGAATATCGAGGGCTTCACTGATAAACAAGTTGAGCGGGCTAATCGCGCACGATCAGTGTATCATATGGCTGGTGCACCAGGCGTGCAAGCGTTTCGTATTGCAGTAAGATCTGGTTTGTTCAAGAACTGCAATGTGAATGAAGAAGATGCAATCATTGCTGAGAAGATATCTGGACCTGGCTCTTCGGTCCTAAAGGGGAAGACGAAGTGTCCCACACCTGAAGGAGTGCGGGATGACTGGATAGAGATACCCAAGGAGTTATTAATGCACAATCTGAGTGTTATGTTGCACATTGATCTTGTTTTTGTTAACAATTCATTCGGACTCACGACCATTGATGGAAGTGTGAGGTACCGGTGCTACGTACCCTTGGCTTCACGATCCAAAACGGCATTGTATGACGCAATCGATAAATGCTTTCGACTATATAATGCACGTGATTTCACAGTGGAGAAGATTTACTGCGATGGGGAGTTCCGTCCGGTATTTGAGCCCGTGAAAGACGAACTTGAAGTTCATATGAACTACGCCAGCAGAGGCGAACATGATCCGAAAGCGGAACAAAATAATCAACATTTAAAAGCACTGTTTTGGGTTCACTTTCACCGAATGCCATTCAAGGCGATTCCAAAGAAGTTGACTGTGGCACTTATGACAAGAGTCGCAAAAATATCCAACTACTATCCGGCAAAAGGTG